TGAAATTCTGTGTTGCTTCTAGCCTTTTACTGTCTTGCTTCATTTATTTTTGTCTTTCTCTTTAAATAAAAAAAAAAACTTACTGGCTGAGCAAGGAATGGTGAAAATGCCTGTAATGCCTGTACTCAAGTGGCTGAGGCAGCAGAGTTCCTGGAGTTCCAGACAAGCCTGCAACATATTCTGAGTTCAGCTCAGGCTACAATGACACAGGGAGACCCTGACTATAAAAAGAAAATGAAAAAATAGGGAAGAAAAGAAAGGAAAGAAGAAACAAAATTCCTAGTGATTTTGTCACTTGGTGTGCATCTGGGCAAGCTGTTTTAGTCTGTGGTCCTTTTCTTGCAGTGTAAAACCCTTTTAACTACTGTTACTTTATAATACCTGGAAACTAGTATTTTGATGCCTCTACTTTTAATGTTCTTTCTATGGCTATAGGAAGACTCTTTGTACTTCCTTGTGAATTTTCATATTTTTTTTTATGTTTCTAGGAAAATGGCACAGATACTTTGACAGGAATGGCACTGAAACCCCTGGTTGCTCTGGGTAGCATGTACATTATAACATGAATTCTTCCCATCCCTCATCACAGTATGGCTTTTCTTCTGTTAGTGCTCTTCTACTTATTGCATTCCAAGAAGATGTGAGTTTGCTTCAGTTTCCCTAATCATTAGTTATTTTTGATTATTTGTGAAATGAATTGTGTTCTTTGTATTTGACGCTACAATTTGTTTGTAGTACGTAGTAACGAATTGATTAGAGCATGTTGCTCATGTATCCTGCAATTTAAGTGATTTGTGAATTAGTTCTATAAGGTTGTCAATGTAGTTTAAATTTCTTATATACAATGCTGTACCCTCAGGAGAACTGTAACAACAATTAATTCTTCCTTTCTGATTTGGAAGGCTTTGCTTTCTCTTTCTGGATTAAATTCTATGGCCAGGACTTCGAGTACTGTATGGTGAAAAGAGTTGTAAGCCTTGTCTCCTTTCTGACCCTAGAAGCTAAGCTTGCAGCCTGTCAGCACCTGAGCACCATGTCAAGGATGGAGCTTGTCATGCTGTGCTGAGGTCCATTCCTCCTACTGATAGTCTATGAATGATTTATATCATGAAAAAATGGTGAACTTTTGAGGTTCTCAAAGCTGTCTTTCCAAATCTCTTCAGGGGTTAGCTGTACCTTATGCTGTGAAAGTGTGAAGCAACACTTACTAGTTTGTGCACGAGAGGGAACATTCTTGCACCACTGAGATTGAGCCCAGTGTTGATCGTGTTGGTTAATTTTGAATATGATGGTGAGTTAATGTGGCAAACATTTAGCTGAATACTTTTGTGTATGTTCGTTAGGAATATTAGCCAACAGAGCGTTTTCATTTATTTTATTTTTAACACATTATTATCTGGCTTCATTCTCAGGATGACTTGTCACTTAAAAGAAGTTGGTGGTGGTTTTTTCTTCAACTTGATGGGAGAATTGAAAAACAATCAGTATTCATTCTTTACCACATCTTGGATAAAATTCACCAGTGCACTTATTGTGTCCTAGCTTTGTTGTTGTTATTAAGCAGCTGTGATGTTTACCCATTGCCTGTGCTCCTTATTGCTCTGTTCATCAGACTGTTTCCTTCTGATGCGTGTGGTTTGGGGACATCAATGGACACCACATATCCTTTAAGGGTCACATCTCATTTTATTTATGGATGTTACCATTTACTTTTGTATATTCAAACTATCTCCATAATATATAATTTTGTGAGTAACTCCTTTCAGTTACTCAGTTTTTAATGCACACTCTTGCAGGGTTTGGTTACTGCTGGAGGAAACTGGGCCTGGTGAGGGCCTGGTCTCTTATTTAAGGCTTTGTACCCTGACCTGCCTGCAGTGCCTCCATCACCTCGCCTGCACCCTGTAAACACTTGTCCTGTTCCATAGCTATGGTGAGTCCACCTGTGGCAGTTCAGATTTGCACCTGGGTGGAAAACATTCAGTCAATTTGAGCTCTGTAACAGACTGACCTTCTCATACAGAGCTCCCCTGAGTGAGACAGGGGGCCTTAGGCATGTAGGAAGGAGCTCTGGAACCTTTTCATCTTTTTCCTTTCCAGTGTGGAATGTGTGACGCTTTCCTTAGAACTCACTGATGGATGAGGCAGCCTGGACTGGGCCTTTTTTTGCCATGGTTCCTGCTAGGTGCCATGGTGTCCTGCACCTCTGCCTGGACCATCTCTCTGACTTTACATCTCCACGTAGATCTGAGCAGACTCAGTCTTCCTATACCAGGCTCTAGCTCTATGCTGAGGCTTCAGGTGAAATATCTGCGATCCTCAAATTCATCTTATATACATTTAACCTGGAAATTCCACTTTAAGGTTCATTTTAAAAAATGAGTTTGATAGACACCATATTCTCTTCTTAATCAGTTAAGGTGTGGACAGTTAGAAACCATGAATGTTCCACAGCACAGTTGCTGAGTTTTTTATAAATGGCAGCCACTGAAAATGCTGAAAGTAGGCCATGTCCCTGATCTTTCCTGAGATTGAAGAGAGCTTGTGTCCTGGTTCTCTCTCCACCCAGCAGTGAAGAGACACAGGCCTGTACATCAAGTGAGGACAGGAGAGAGGAGCTGGTCAATGGCAGACCTCTCATCCTGGGAGGGATGCCTGTGTGGTTTTTCCATTTTATTTTCCACTGCAGTATTTATAGTGTTCCATTCAATATTACTTCTCTCCTGTTCAATTCACTTAAGAATAAATAGTTGGTATTTTCTTGAATAGGTGAGTGGAAATGGATGACTTAATACTCTTTTATATGTAATGTAGGATACAAATATAGATGAACATTGCATGGATCAGAGGAGCATGGAAAGGATGTGCAAGTGACTGACAGAATGCAGGAAGCCAATAGCAGGACATACAACAGAGAGGTTCTTCTCTGAAATTCAGGTAGTTCTTAGAGTAAGTGTGAAGTTAAAGTTGGGTTCTGATTGCTTCCTTGATGTGATCAACACCAGCTCTGGCAAAAATCAGTGTTTCACATCCTTGTCAACCCATGCATTTTCTATTCCACACTTGAGTTCTAATTTTGATTATCTCTAATTATGCCCCAGTGTTATGAAGGTAAAATGTGGATTTTTTTTTTTGTACCAAGAATCGAACTCATGATCTATGCTTTTCAGGCAGGTGTTCATGCCACTGAGCTAAATACCCAACTATGAAAGTGTTTTCTTTGTTGTATGGCAGATATCCACATTGTTTCTCAGAAAGTGATGAATATTTTTGGAATTTTTCCATATTGTATGGCTGTAATTTTGAAAAACAAATCAAAGGTGTCTTATGCAGTATCTTTTCAAGTTTCACTTTTTCTGTGGGGTGTCACAGTCAGGGTTTCTCTATGTTAGACAGCTCTGTAACTTAGGATAGCCCCAAATTCAAGGAAGAAGTCCTTCACCAGCCTCACAAGATATATTCCTTATATCTGAATTGATAGTGAATGCTTGGTGACAGTGAGCTATAAATTACAGCTTGGGCCTGTTTCCATCTTATATAGTTATTTTTTAAAAACAGCATTTTCCACTAACATTTATTATTTGTGTACCATATTGGATGTTATTTATGTTTTGTTCTATGAAACCAAATTCATGTTTCAAAATGTGGTGAAGTATATTAAGAACAAAGTACTCACTGGCCTAAATGAGATTAGAAGAGACATTATCTGCAGCCTATCACAGTGATTGATGAGATTTTTTTTTCTTTTTTTAAATTTTGAAAGTGGTAAAATACAACAGAACAAGGCAGAATAAGGCCAACTAAGATCATATAGTGAAATTGGTGCAGTTACTGCGTTAACAATAATAGGTATCACAGTATATTTTATTATCTTTAGAATAGTTGTTCTTTCTTTTGTTTTTTTTTTTTTGTTTTTTTTTTTTCCTTTTTATCAGTACCGGGGATCGAATCTATGACTGTTTGCTTGCGAGGCAGGTGCTTATGCCGCTGAGCTAAATCCCAGCCCCAATAGTTGTTCTTTCAAACACATATATCAAAATGAGATGAAATACAGAACATTATAGTACTTATCAAAAAATATTGAATAGAGCAATACCATTACTCAGAATAGAGCAAAACAGCAACAAATATATTTGCCTTCAAAGAGATAGTAGAAGGAAATCCCCCTTATTTGTTATGGTCTGTTTCCCAGGAGACACTCAGATTTCTGTTTCCCATTTGCTAACGGGGGGGGGGGTGACAGGAGAAGAGGGGTAGGGAAGTGGGATGTTTGATTCTAGGCCATGCATCTGTAGGTTCACTATTGCTTAGTAGGGAGACAGGCCAGTTGTTTGGTTTCACAGCATCCTAAGATCCCACCCACAGGGTGTGGGTCTCAGGAGCTGCTGCTGTTTCTCCCCCTGGAAGGGCCACATTCTGCCAGACTGCCACTGATTACCAGGGAGAAGTGGTGCTTGCTTGGCTTCCCAGTTGATTGATGGGATATTTATCTGCCTCTGTGCTTTGTGGATGCTGGTCCTACAGGCTTCTCACTGTGAGCTCTGCATTAGAGACAGAACACAGGGACTATTGCAGTGACTCAGCACAAGAATCAGTGCTCCTATTTCACTCTTACATTAGCAGTGAGTTGCAATCTATCATCAAATTTGGTGTCTTCAAAAATGTGTATATACACAAAATTAATGACCAAGACATGATTTAAATTTGAAGAAATCAGTCTTCATTCAGCTGTTTTGTTTGGTTGTATTTGTTTAGTTTTGTTTTTTTTTATTGAGACAAGCTTTCTATATGTATATCAGCTGGATTTGAACACTCTATGGAGGCTAGAATTGCCCTGAACTCACTGAAACCATCCTTCCTCAGCATTTTGAGTGCTAGAATTATAGATATATATCACCACACTTTGCTTTTGATTCAGATTTTTAGGAGAGAATTTAAGATATCCCAAACCTGGTGTCTCAACCTTCCTGTGAGAAATATATGTATGATCGATCCTTTAGGAGGTGGTGACCTTTGAGGATGTGGTCGTGAACTTCAGCAATGAGGAGTGGACTTTGCTGAGTCCATCCCAAAAGAACCTCTACAGAGATGTGATGGGCGAAACCTTTAGGAACATGACTGCAATAGGTAAGGACAAAATACTTTTGTCATTCATGCTGTTAGAATATTGTATGTCGCTCATCAGTGCTGTTTCATTAAAAACAATGTGAAAATATTTTTAAAAATAGCTCAGACCTGGACACATTATATCATAAGTCTAAACAAAATCTATTCATTTGTATGTATTATACTAATGAGTGCTGGTATTTGTATGTCTACATTTCAGGAGGACTTGGGGATATCCAGGAAGCTGAAAAAGAATGCAAAATTTACTGGAGATACTTAAGGTAATTTGCACTCATAAGAAGAAGGAATGTTCCTGAGTAATTAGTGAGTCAGCAGAAAAATGCCGCCAAAGAAATGAGGCAATATTCAATTTAATGTCAGTAATATTCTCCGAAGATGTATAAGCTAGGGTATGTATAATGAGTGGATTAAATCAAGAAAATGTATGACATTGCATATAGATGTTTATGAAAGGCATACACTTTGAGTTATGACATTCTCCCTTCAGTTTTTTTACCCATATATACATGTGAATACAACACATTCATCATCTAAAAATTGCTAAGATTGCAGTAGAACTTGAAATAAAATGGAGTTCTTGTGTTTCCAAGCCATGATCTAAAGAATCAGCCGTTCTGACTAAAATTCTTAGAAGGCTAGTGGAATGTTAAGTGCACTCATTCTGAATATCAGTGTGCAGTTGTCTCTAGAAATTGATCCCCTCATACTTGTTCTGGATATATTTTAAAAATTCAAAATGCACTTAAAATACTAATACATGCTTGCTCATATACAAAGCAGATCAAGTTATAATAGATCAGGCCTTGAAGAAGCTTAACTATTTATCACTGGATTTGTGGAGAAGGAATATATTAATAGACTCTCTGTGATTGTGCATTCTTGTAAATCCAGCACACAAGGAATCAGATTTTGCAGAATGGCAAATTCAAGTTCAAACTTCACAGCTTAATGATCAGCGAAAATGTCTTAAAACAGATTTAAAAAGCTATAGATTTTATGCTAATAGCTGTTGTTCATTCCCACCATGGAAAAGAAAAAAATGTGTTATATAATGACAAAAAATAAATAATATAATGTCATTTGCCATAAGAAATAGGTGGTTTTTTGTCCCAACAATTTGGTGAAATAGCTCAGCCATAAAACCTAAAAGGTCACAGGGTTTCTTTTAGATGAGAAACCAAAATATAAATTGTGGAATGAAATGAAAGAGTTAATAGATAAAAGTAAGACTGACCATATGGAAAAGGGAACTACAGGTTAAGGACAGAAGGGAGATTGTGATGGGCAAACATATCAGAATGATCTGTATGTGATACACATATGTACCCATGCCCAAAGTCAAGATAAGGATTCTGCATTTCAAAAGGTATCAAATTTTAAGATTTCCAAATGTGTACCATTCTTTTGGGAATGGTTGTTTTCAACATGTCTTACAAGGCCATTCTGTTATTTCATGGTTAGAATTTCTTAGCAGGCATTAAAAACAAAACTTGACATTAATGCAGTCATTAAACTGAGACCCATTTCACTGTGAATGTTTCTTATTTTTTTATTTAATGTAAGGAAAGAGTAAAAAAAAAAACAAAATAAGTAGAAATGATACCACTTTCAAAGTGAAAATAAACAGTAAGAAATCTAAAGACAATGATTACATATGCTGCTCATAGAAATAATGAAATACAAAAGTGAAGTATATGAAGTGGGGATTCAAACAACGAGACTGCAAAAAATTTTGTTCAAATCTCCAATAAAAACTTAGTAATATGGCTATCAGTCTGATATGTGATTTTTTTTGACAGAAATGACAAGCTAGGGCAATCCTATGGACATACATCTTGGAATCAGTGTAAAGAAGTATTCCTTTGTACTGAAGAAGGTAATGTGAATGTGAACGAAGCAGAAACACACCACAATGTTCAGATCCATGAAAAATATAGCAGTGAGGAGAAATCCTATGTATGTCAGCAGTGTGGAAAATGGTTCACCAAATCTGGACATTGTAAGCAACATGAAATAATTCACACTGGAGTGAAATCATATGTATGTAAGAAATGTGGGAAAGCTTTTAACACACGGGCAAAATGTAAAATACATGAAAGAATTCACACTGCAGAGAAACCCTATGTATGTAAGCAATGTGGGAAAGGTTTTACCCAACATGGAGCTTGTGAGCAACATGAAAAAATTCACACTGGAGAGAAACCATATGTATGTAAGCAATGTGGGAAAGGTTTTACCCAATATGGAAATTGTAAGCAACACGAAATAATTCACACTGGAGAGAAACCGTATGTATGTAAGCAATGTGGGAAAGCTTTTAACACACGGGGATATTTTAAGAAGCATGAAAGAATTCACACTGGAGAGAAACCGTATGTATGTAAGGAATGTGGGAAAGGTTTTAACATATACAGACAGTGTAAGGAACATGAAAGAATTCACACTGGTGAGAAACCATATGTATGTAAGCAATGTGGGAAAGCTTTTACCCGACATAGACATTGTAAGCGACATGAAAGAATTCACACTGGAGAGAAACCCTATATATGTAAGCAATGTGGGAAAGCTTTTAACACACAGGCAGATTGTAAAAGACATGAAAGCATTCACACTGGAGAGAAACCCTATGTATGTAAGCAATGTGGGAAAGCTTTTACCACACATAGATATTGTAAGGAACATGAAAGAATTCACACTGGAGAGAAACCCTATGTATGTAAGCAATGTGGGAAAGCTTTTAACACACATCGACAGTGTATGGAACATGAAAGAATTCACACTAACCAGAAACCATATGTATGTAAGAAATGTGGGAAAGCTTTTACCCTATATAGACATTGTAAGCAACATGAAAGAGTTCACACTGGAGAGAAACCCTATATATGTAAAGCCTATATATGAAAGCTTTTACCCAACATGGACATTGTAAGCAACATGAAAGTTCACACTCAAGTTAAAACCCGTGTATATAAGCATCATGAGAATTTTTTGAGCACAAGTACATATTGCATAATGCATGAAAAGCTTCACACTCGGCATAAATCTTATATATGTAGTGAATTTGGGAAAGGTTTCAGCAGAAATGCTCATTGTCCAATAAATGAAAAAATTTACACTGTTGAGAAACCCTGTTTATGTGAAGAATGTGGGAAAGCTTTCACCACACATGGATTTTGTAAAATACATCAATGACTCCACACTGGTGAGAAACCCTATGCATATAACAATGTGGCAAAGCTTTTAACACATACAGTCATTGCAAAACACATGAAACATTTCACATTGGGATGGCTACGTAAGCAAGTGGAGACATTTTCAGCAGCCAGATTGTAAGTGAAATACATGAAGAAAATCACACAAGAGATAAATCCTATATGTTATATGAATACTCAGCACACCTGATCACTGTTACATATCTGAAAGAGCTCACTGGATCCTATGTGTATTAACAGTGTGAGAAATACGGCAATCCATGTTTATTGTTAAATACATAGAAGAAGCAGCACTCTTCAGACAGTTTAGATCTAAGTTTACTTTAAAAGTTCCAAGAAGACCTGAAGAAATAATCAATACAGAAGTTTGATGTCAATATTTCTTCACAAATTTTCCAGAAACAACAAATCTGAAGTGGAGCTCTACTCAAATACACATTTTGTATGGTTTTCAGTTAATCACTTATACCTCTTTATTTTTTAATGTGTCTTTGTGCTTCTACATGGCATCTTGTAATTAAACATGGTAAATGAAATGGGCTTTTCACTTTCAAGTATGAATAGTGTCTATGTACTTAATATTTTGTCTTTAAAACTTAATTTTATATTTTTGGTGAATTATTTTTATTTAAAAAAACAAAAAGTATAGAAATAATACAGAATTTCTGAAAAATAAACAATAAGAAGTCACTAGTTGATTTGTTACATATTGTCATCTTAGAAGTAATTGTTTAAGTTACAAAATTAAGCATAGAATGTGATACTCAAATAATGACACTGCGAACATTTTACCTCAGTGATCCAACAAAAACTTATTAATATGCTTATATGTTCTACAATATTGTTTTTTATCTTAAAGATCATAAGATTAAACATGACAAAACAAAACAGAACAGTTCATAAGGAAACAAGTTAAGGAAACACAGGTTTCAAAGCAAGTCCACTGAGATGTTCATTGTCTATCTTACTGTCTCTAGTTTTTTTCCAAATAGTTGTTTCCATCTTCACAAGCATTGAATAGATACTTAACATTATAGAACTAATCAAATAATTACAGGATGATGCAGGCTTTTTTGATCTTCAAGACTGATTTTGGGGAAGTTGATGATTACCATAATGTGTCTCATTCTCTTCGTAGTAGATGTCTTTATTTTAATGTATGCTGAAACTGAACATAAGAGACTAAACTAATATACTCTGAACAGTGAATAATAGTATCCTGAGAAGGAGAAAGGTGAGGAATTGCCTAAAAAAAGAAGGCAGAGGACATTGTTAAAAGTGTATCAGGATTTAAAAGCTATAGTAGTTCTGTTGCTCTGTTTATTTTGATTATATTTTGTTCTGGTCTGTCTACTCATAATAGATTTGAGGGCACAAAGATGTAACCCAAAAATAGCAGGTTATACCATGATGGTAACTGTCCTTAATTTCCTATTAACTAAAACTGAAACCCTGTATTACTTACATTGTCTTACTATGACTGATCTTATTGGAAGCTGGTTTGTTTGAATGTTATTTGGCCTTGACTGATTTTATTCACATTTTTTATGCTTGCTGGCCTCAAGTCCAAGAGTAGAGGCCACTTCTCTGAAGATGATAAGATGTGACAGATATATATTGTGGGGCTGGGGATTTAGCTCAGTGGCTTAAGTTCCTGCCTGGCAAGTGTAAAGTAATCCGTTTGATCCCCAGTACCAAAAAATAAATAAAAGATATAAATTCCAGTTTAATTTTTTTAAAGAGAAAAAAAGAACATAAGAAACAAAGCAGTAAAGGGTACAAATCATGTAGAATTTCAAGAAAAAAATACAGTAAGAAATCACTAGTTAATAGGTTACATATTGTCTTCTTAGAAACAATTGTTCAAATTATAAAATTAAAGCATATAAAGTAAAGATTCCTACAGTGTGTTTGCAGAGAGTTCCGTTCAATGATCCAACAAAGCTCAGTAATATGTTTTTCTTCCTACACAGTTAAACAGGCGCTTATATCTCTTAGACCACCTTCCTTTCCTGTCTTCTTCACAATAACAATTACACTTTTGAGGTTTTTTTATTCCCATATTTCTTATTACTTTTTTTGAAGAGAATAAAACCTCAAGTGAGTTAACAAAACAGAGTTGGTTAGAACATAATGATGGGCATAGTACTTGATGCAAAAATAGAATATCAGCTGATCAAAAATGTTTACCATTGTGCCTTTTGCTATTTTTAAAAAGAATTGCTATATCATCAGGTATAATAGAATTGATCAAAACAGTACAGAACAAGACCAATAAAATCTCCACTGAAGACCTTATAGGATTTCAAAAGAGGATAATAGTCAAACCATAATGGGCATCATAGTAAATCTTATTGCCTACAACGTGGTTGCCTATACCCTCAAACTTGATACTATCAAACAAAATAGAATATAGTAAAATCAGGCAGAACAAGACGGGGAGAGCAATAGTGGGGTTAAAAATCAGGTTAATAGGAAAACAAAACAGTTACTATAATATATCCCTCTATTTTATAATTTAGTTTTCCTTTAAAAAAATAGAATTTTTTTTTAAAAAAAGGGTGGAGATCGAGATAGAAGGGACATTGTAATAGAACAACACAGGTCAGAACTGAACAATTAAAGCATCATTTTGTTTTACCACCAGATAATCTAACATAATAGTAGTCACCATCGTGCCTCTTTCCTTGAATTGTTTGAGTATAACTTCATATACTATAGAATCAATCATATCAAGACAGTGTGAAGCCATTCAAGAGAATGAAAAAATTACAGCGTATTTAGAGCCAATTAACAGAAAATGAACAAAGTGAAGAAGACAAATAGACAACTGATGATAGAAAAATAGAACAACAGAAATGAGACTGAGAAGGTTCGATATAATTTCTAATGCAGATGTCCTATATACACTAAATTAAGGAAAAAAAGAGAATCACAGGCAGAGTGGATCAAGAAATAGGGCCAACTGAGATGCTCTTTATAGGAAGTATAATTGACCTGATGAAGGGTATTTGGACCAAAATTGAATATGAGAACATAGAACTCTATGTGATAGGGAATGAGAGAGTAATAGGGGCAACTGGACCAGTATTTATGGGTAGGTTGGAAAGAAAGGCTTTAATAAGTAAAGAAATATAACTAGAGATCAAGTCCTGGAGTCAGAAAGTTCAGAAACACTTAGATAAATTGCAGGTTGCCCACACAATATAAAACCAAGGGTGTTGGGGAGACCCAAAAATACACAGTACATCCTGGGGGAGTGAAGGGGAAGAATAGACTTTAAAAAGACAGAAGAAGATATTGCTATAAGTGTATCAGGAATTAAAACCCATATTACTTGTACCACTCTGTTTAGATAGAACTTATTTCATCCCAGTTTTTATACAAACATTAAATCTGAGGGCACAGAGAGCTATCCCAAAAATATCAGGATATACCACAGTAATCATCTTTAATTTCCTGTTAACTTAAACCAGATTCCTCTATAACTTATACTGTTATATCATTGCTGAATTTATTTAAATCTGATTTGTTTGATTGCTTCTTGTTATTGACTATTTATTCAAAACCGTTAGGTTGATAGTGTTGTCAGAGTGTAGACAATTATACTGAAAATAGAAATGATTCTCTATAATACCCATTCTGACTTGATTAATATCTGTTTTTGTAGCTCTACACTATCTACAAAGCTCTATTTCTGTTAATACTGTTATGCAGTGATATATTCAATTATACTTTATCCGATGATATAGCCATTTTTATTAATGATAACAAGAGACAACACAGTAACCATGGTAAAACTCCTTGTACAGCAGTTTTATATGTCTTTTTAGTTTTATGTATCTCTAGGATTATGTTTTGCTCTGTCCTGCTTTGTTCTGTTTCTCCCTCTAATATAGAAAGGATAGTAACACATGTTAAGATGCATGCTTCCATAAAACCTATCAATAATTTAGAAGAACTGATTTTATGATACATGATGAAATGAACAAATACTTTGAAGGAGAGAAAAGGGGACTACAGTATCCAGTGCTGGTTCCATCATGTCATGATGTGAAATCAAGCAATACTATTAATCTTCAACTAGAGTGATTTTAATCTGCTTTGGTTTGTTTAAACTCAACATAAATAAAGATATGGATAAATACATACATGTTTAAGTGTATAGGATTGACTGCCATATTACTTAGTTTTTATTAGATAGTTGAACAGAACTATTTGAAGTCTCCCTGTTTGAATTCCCATTTATATGGTCCACTTTTGTATCTTGAACAATTATTTGTAAGAGGACAATAAAACACACAAAGTAGTGATTTATTACTGTTTATTCTTTAATTTGATTGTATGTACTATTTTTGCCTGCTTTCTGTTTTGTTTTGTCTTTCTTTAAATAAAAATAAATTTAAAAATATAAATAAATAAACAAAGTCCCTTAGCAGTTAGATTGGTGGACCAAGCTCTGATTGATAAATAAGAAAGCAGCTGTCTGGTAACATTTTTAACCAGTTTTTATCCATTGATTAGAGACCTCAATGATCTTCAGATCACTATAGGAGACACCTCAGATAAATTTATGAAATTTATTCCTAAATGTTCACATTGGTCATTATCAAATGAAGTAATACATATTTTTGGTTTGATGATGCCTGTATAAAGGTTTCACATGGTTATGACAGTTGATTTTAATCCACTATATGATGTATTGCATATATTCATAATTCTGGATGTGTAAGACTCCATGATTGTAAAATTCGGGTTACTTATTTAACAGATTTTTGTCTCATGTGCACACCTTTGCTGCTCACAAAGACTTGTGAGATTCACATTCAACTAAAGATCAATAAATTTTTCAATAATATACAAAAAACTTCTTTTGTATTAGATAAGGGTGATTGACTAAAAGGGATAATTTATGTCAAACAAGAATTTAGATTACTACAAGAATCTTGTGATTGTCATGATGCAATACTGTGTATGGTTCTGATTCCTGATATATTATGTAAAATATGCAACTGTTAATACTGTAGGTATTCAAATGCTAAAATGTCCATGGATTGAAGAAAATAGGATTCATTTAATGTTCTAAGATGTTTCATGTTTAGATAAAATAGTAATATTACACTTACTGCCTGTAATATACTGTATTGTTATGAAAAACTTCTTTTGGATGTTTGACAGCTAAGGTTTGGAAGCCAAAACTTAGAGAAACAGATGGGCTAAATGGATAGCCAATATTTTGGCCCCAGTCCTTCAAGGGTGGTGGAGACCAAGGATATAAAATAACCTCTGATTGCATCATCCTAAGATATTCAGTGAGTCCCTAGTTGTCTCATCAAGGATATGATGAAACCACAGAGGAAAGTCACCTTCAATGCAAGGTGTGCCTAAGAAGAGTCACAGGAGAAAAATCTCCCAAGCTTTCACAGAGAGCAACGTGGTGAAGCAATGATTGTGACTCTTCTAAGTGGCTGACACTGACAGAAGAGCCATGAGGTGTTATGCATGGTTCTAAGATAACTCCTGAGAAGACCTAAGTGACCTTGATAGGAAGGTCTTTTGGCAACTCTTGGAGGTGGACTAAATGTCTTTTGCATAATGGATGTATATGAGTCCTGGGGGCCAGGGGTGGAATGTCATGGTTTATGCCTGTGTCCCCCAGGCCTCATGAGTTTGCATTGTGCATTTATGATGGTTCGTTGTCTAGTGTTCGGATTGATGGTGTCAGTCCTAAACCCACATTGGGTGGAGCCAGGATGTAATTCAATGGCAGGAAGAAGGTGTATCTTGCTTTTTGCTGGTTCCTGTGTGCTTTTTGCAGGCTCCATGAACTGTGGCCCAGCCATACCTGCCTGCCTTGGAGCCAACGGAGTGTGAACTGAAACCTGCAAAAACTGTAAGAAATAAATCTTTCCTTTCTGAAATTGGGCTTCAGGTATTTTGTCTCAGCAACAAGTAAAAAGTAATTAAGACAGAATTTGGTACCTAGGAGTGGGGTCTTTTGCTGTGACTATTCTTGACCATGTTTTTCTAGAGGCTTTGGCAATGGCTTGTGGGCAGAGTTTGGAAAGCTTTGGACATGTCGCCTGGATGCGTAGAGCTGGAGCAGCTTAGGCTGTTCTGTAGAGGGGATTCTGCTCAGACCTCAGGAGACCAGAAGGCTGATAGAAGGCTTGATGATAAAAATCAGGCTTTGGAGTTTTCTGTTGGGAAGAAGGACTGCATTGGTTGTTGGACTCCACCTGATGTGTGTTATGGCTTGGCAGAAGGTTTGTCTGCATTTTGCTACTGCCCAGAGACTTTGCTGAGACTGAGACAAAGGGCAATGGACTGATTAATCTTGGAAAAGAAATTAAAAAGCAATCAAACCTTGAGGCTGTGGCATGGCTATTGTTGGGGGCTTTTAGCCAGATTTATGTTGCATTTCAAAAGCAAAGAGATCAGCAGGATAGTGTACAATGCTGTGAGTTTGGCCAGAAGGAAAATTCCAGGAAGACTATGGATTGCAAAGGCAGAGTTGAGATTTTGATTCCTGAGGAGAAACAGAGAGATAAGAAAGATGGCCCAGGGCATCAAAGAAGGGGGTCCTCACCCTGTGCAACCTCACTGCAAATGTGAAAGAATTTGCTCAGAGGGAAAAGCTGCAGAATGCCATGTTCTAGAATGGCAACAGAAGCCACTTGATGTTCCAGAATGGTGGCCCCTTTGAGAAGCTTTTCCTC